AAGTAGAATCATAATGAAAAATACGCCGGTAAAATGTGCCTATAGAAAACGGCTTAGCAAGTAGTCAGTTTAGCTTCGGTTGCTATGCTAACATCACCCATGTTATACCAGAGAAACTTTCATAACAGCGTTGTGATGCCAAACAGCGTCAATTCAGACTGACACCAAACAGCGTCAATTCAGACTGACACACATTCACTTAAGGGGAACTGGGGATATGTATCAGCTGCTTGTGTGACAGTCAGACAGTGAATACTTTAGAGCCGTGTGAGCTAACCCGGAGCTAACGGGACAATAAACTCCCGTGGAAGTGCAGCCACTGCAGCGGTCGGTAAATGCCGCTGAAACACATTAATAAACAATGAACCACGGCACTCTGGAGAAAAGTATAAGGTTGGAGAAGTCGTTATTTAATTTAATCTGGCTTCGTATGATTAAAAGCAACACGACCCGATGCAGTCCCCGGCCCGTTGTTGTTGTGGGAGAAAATCAGCGACGTAAACTGTGACGTCATGACGCAGCAGCGGCAGCTCTGGGCAGTGTGAACAGAGCGGGAGCTGAAAAGGGAAACGGGAGCTGAACCAGAAAAGCTCTCGCGAGGAGCTAGAAAGTGAAAAGCGCCGGTGTGAAAGCCGCATTAGTCTCGGAGAGAAACTGGAGGTAAAGCGCCTCGGTGCCCACCATCCACCGGATATCCAAATGGTCCAGACTGCGGGCAAAGTGAACCGCGGGTTTAATGCTGAGTGGTTTGCTAAAAAGAAATGGCTAACGGCGAGCATCCAGAAGAATTCCCTCTTTTGCTTTCCTTGCCTGCTTTTTGGTGAAGATCAAGGTACTTGGTCGAGGACAGGTTACAAGGACTTAAAGCATCTTTCGGAGAGGACAATGAAGCATGAGAGCAGCAACAGTCACTTGGAAAATGCCGTAAAATTGGGATTACTGGGAAGGGTGAATGTTGCAGCTCAGATTGACAGCGCCTACAGACGCGGCATTGATGATCATAATAGGAAGGTGGAAGAAAACAGGTACGTGTTGGGTCGGATCATCACCTGTATTAAACTGTGTGGGAAATGTGAGACAGCACTGCGGGGCCACACGACGAGTCGGCGGACTCTCTGAATCCAGGGATATTCAGGTCAATTTTCGAGACAATGTGTGAGGGCGATTCCAGGCTTCGACGGCACTACGAAGCTCAGCCCGTTTTCAAAGGGACATCAAGCACCATACAGAATGAACTCTTGGACTGCATGTATGATGTGTACAGGGAGGAAATATCCAAGCAAGTGGACAACACATCATTTGTTGCGTTCAGGCCGACGAGACAACCGATGTCTCATGTAAATCGCAAATGGTGATTGTGCTGCGATACATTATGCCTGACCTCACAGTTACAGAGCGTTTTTTGGAGTTTGTGGAAGTAAAGGACAAAACTGGTGTAGGTCTCTCTAACAGCATCAAGGCTGTTCTTGAACCCCTGAAGCTGAAAGAAAAGCTAATCGCTCAGACCTATGACAGGGCGGCCGTCATGAGCGGTAACGTGCGCGGGGTACAGACGGTCATGAAGGAGACGTACCCAAACGCTAAGTTTGTTCACTGCTACGCCCACCAACTGAACCTGACCCTGCAGCAACTGTGTTCAGCAAGGATGAGCATCCTCAAGGTGTTTTTTGCAGATCTAACTGCTTTTTCCACTTTTTTCTCCGGTGCTCCAAAACGTGTTGCAGCTCTTGCAGAGGCAACACAGAGACGCATACCACGGCCACCGGCTGTGAGATGGAACTTTAAAAGCAGAACTGTGAACGCGGTTTGGGAGACCCGAGAAGCACTTCTTCAGTGTATGGAGCATATACGCACACAACCAGGATGGGATGCGGTCACCATAAGTGAGGCATACGGCCTGTCAAAGAAACTGCGGGACCGAGCATTTATGCAGCTCCTGGAGTTTTTTTCGTTGCTTATGCCAGAAGTGGATGTTTTATACAACACTCTGCAAAAACGAACCATCGATGCACCTGGGATCAACAGCGCGCTCTGCCGCTTCAAGGAAAATGTCCAGAAAATGAGGCAGCAAACTGATGCATTGGCCGCCACCACTCATGATGGAACAGACGAGCCAGGCCGACGAGTCAGCAGCACAGCGCCGGTAATGAAGGAGGCATGTGACACAGTCATCTCACAGGTGGAACAGAGGTTCTCACAGAGTGACCATTTGATCGCTGCAAAGCTCGTTGACAGCTCATTCTTCCCACAGCATGTCCTGTCATTTCCTACACCTGAGCTTGACTGCGCAGTGAAATTGTGGCCTGCTTTGGGAAATAAGGAGAAGTTGAAGTCTGAGCTGACCACGCTCTACCGCCACAGTGAACTTCACACTGGAAACACTGCCCTGTCTCTGTTGAAATCCATTCACGAGAACAACTTGGAGGATACGTTTGCTGAGACTGTTATTTTGGTCAAAATAATAGTAACAACTCCGATGACGACATCCGAGTCAGAGAGGAACTTTTCCACCCTCAAAAGGATAAAGACTTTCACTCGCAACACCATGGGACAGCCGCGACTTAACGCATTGGCCATGCTTTCAATTGAAAGCCAGTTGATCCAGCAACTACAGGACTTCATCCCCAAAGTGATAGAAACATTCTGTCAGAGGAAGGACCGCCGTGCCGCTTTTCTTTTCAAGTGAGCCTTCAGCTTTGGTAAGTTCATTTATGTCATATATTTTGTTGATCTTCTGTGTTTTGCCTCTGCTGGATCGATTGATATTGTGACCTCTGTGATGAGTGTCTGTGTTTTCCTTATATTTACAGTCTATGGTGTTTTAATGCTAAAGCATTATGGTTGTTGTTGTTGTTGTTAAGAATTGCTTTGTGATGGTGCCCTTTACTTATGTATTAAGGTGCATTACAATATGACATCCCCACGCTGTGTACCGTACATTTACGTACACAGTGTACGTAAATGTATGAGCTGACAGTGTTGCTCAGTGTGGTCTTCAGTATGTAATTTGACACTCCCCCCCCCCTCTCTCTCCCCCCTCTCTCTCTCTCTCTTCCCCCCCCCCCTCTCTCTCTCTGCCCCCCCACCTCTCTCTGCCCCCCCAGTTTTGTACACATAGAAACGCCACTGCGAGCATGGACATTCACTTTGAACACCCGCCAGATTCTCAATAGGATTAAGATCTGGGCTATGTGCGGGCCACTCCAGCACCTTGGTTTTGGTGTCCTTTAGGAACTGTTGGACCAATTTTGATGTGTGCTTTGGGTCACCCAGCGACGTCCTAAGCGAAGACTAAGAGCAGATTTTTTCATATTATCCCTCAAAATGTCAACATAATTTAAGTTTTTCATGATGCCTTGCACCCGAACAACTGGCTGCAAAACAACCCCACAGCATGATGTGTTCTTAGGGTTGAAGGCCTCTCCCTTTCTTCGCCAAACATAAGCAACATCCATGTGCCCAAACAGTTCCAGTTTAGTCTCATCAGACCAAAGCACAGACTTCCAAAACTCATCTTTACCTTTCAAATGTTCACGGGCAAACCTCAGTCTGGCTCTGATGTGCCACTCTTTGAGTAAAGGGGTTCTTCTGGGACGATGGCCCTGAAGCCCACCACGATGAAGAGCCCTCACAACTGTGTTCCTTGAAACATCAACTTCAGAAGAGGCCAGGTCAGCAACAATCATCTTGGCAGATGTCCGGGGTTTCTTGCTGACATCTGACTATTTTCCTCTCCAGAGTTCTTGAAATCTTGCGCTTTCGACCACGCCTAGGTTTGTTTCTTACAGAATTTGTCTCCTTGTACTTCGCAATGATGCAACCAACGTACAGCAGTTCTAGACACTGTGAAGCACTTGGAAATAGCAGTATAGCCTTCCCCCTTATCATGAGCCTCCACTATCTTCTTTCTGAGCTCAAGACTGATTTCCTTTGTCTTTGGCATGGTGAGTAGGAGTAGTAGTATAGTCCCTCTCAATAACGTATTCAAGTGCCTGTTTCTTGGAGTCCTTTTATGCTGATTGAATGCTCAGGTGTGGCTTGAAAGCGGATTGGTCGATTAGGTGCGTTTTGAAAGCAAAAATTCACATTAGGGCTAATATTTTTGACCAACCAATTTTTCACTATATTTGATATAAAGCAAGCCTAAAAACTTGTTTTATTTTCCAAAATATACCAAATGCTACTAAATAGCACTGGTGAATGTTTGATTATATCAAGTTGTATCAATGCTTGAAACATTGGGAAGAATTTTAGGAAAATGTTCCATAACTCCTGGGGGGCTAATCATTTAGGCCTCAAATGTTCATGTTGCTCTGTTGGAGGAGCCTGACTTCAGTTTTTCATTGACATATCTACACTGTAGCAGAAGTGTCCTTTTGTCCCCCGCTTCCTTTTCCACCTTTACCCATATCTTATAGACTTCTTGCAGACTTTTGTATTTGTATTTTTGTATCTTATTAATATAACTATGTTGCATTGTTGGAGGAGCTCGGTTCATAAGATTTTCAATGCCATTTCTACGCTGGAGCTTATGTGCATATGACATTAAAACCTTTGAATCTATAAAGACGTCTTCCTGTGCCACTTACATCCCAGTATTCTTTCAAAGAGTTGACAAATTAGCTCCTTATTGATAGTTTTAACCTCTACTTTACTTATTAGTTGTCAATTAACCCTTGTTTTAGTCATTGTTTAGCCAATGTGTTTACCTTCTCATTTCTTTTCACTCATACATGAGAAGTAACCTAATGGTAAGAGACTCTAAATCTCATATAATGTAATCTGTGAAGAAAATGTCAAATTTCTTACATAACCTATCTGAATGGCAAATTCCCAGACTTAAGAAAATCCCTCTGAAGGAACCGTTGGAATTTAAGCCTTTGCAGACCATTTACATGCACTAAAACCTATATAGCACACTACAGGAAAGGGAAAAACCACCTCTTGCATACCGTCCTGCATGAATACAGTTCACAGTCTTCATGATTAACACTCACAGATGCTTTTCCAAACACTTTATTGCTGTCGTAGTCGCTCAAAATAAGTCATGACTGGTTTGGTTGCACACATGGTGAGGACAGTTACTCCCAAAAAGCCGATTGATCCAGCAACGATGGCGATCATCGTCATGTGATCTGCCCCTGAAAGGAAATGGACACAAGTCAATTTCTAACTCTGCATTTAGAGTGCAACCTCTCATTGAACTGTATGTTGAACTAATCAGACCACCAACGATAACAAAAAACAGTTAGAGATACATTTGAAGGTCTATCAGTATATGTACATTCATTCATTAATTAAAATCTAGTGAAAAAACAATGGAACTTGCCGAAATGATACAACAACAAAAGCACTTAGTTCCCAGCACTTAGTTCCCAGCACTTAGTTCCCCCATGGAACTAAAGAGCAGATCGCGTTAACACAGGAATAAATTCGCTGGGGGAGGATTAGGCAAATGAAGCCGCTGACGTCACTTCTTCTTCTTCTGCTTTGGGTTTACTGGCAGGCCGCAAACAACTTCACGGCGTATACTGCCACCGGAAGTCCCCGGCCGGAAGTCCCCGGAGTTAGGGACTGGCTTCAGTAGAAGCTGCTCCCAGCCCCGAGTTTTACGGGGCGTGGTTTGCAATACGCCCAGCCAATAAGAAATTGGAACTTTTTCTCCCATGAAAGTACCACCTCTCTTGCAGGGACTGAAAAGGGGGTAAAAGTTCTCATGAACTAAATTCTCTTTTTGGTGTGAACGCAAAATCCCGGGAACTATCGGAACTAAAAGGGACAAGTACGGGGAAAAGTACTCCGGTGTGAAAGCGCCTCATGTAACGTATCCTCTGCTCAGCTTCCTCCATATAAACTCACAATAAGACGGTGGGACTCCTGACGTCCCCCTCTGATTGACCATCAGAGGACCAGCGGACACGATGCCGGCTCGATTCCCGTCTCTCCTCTTCTGACTCGCTGACCTTTTGGACCGCTGCTCGCTGCTGCAACTCTGTTACAAAAACAGGCTCAGTTTAGTGATTTTCAATGACATTTACACGCTTATATATTTCACATGCATCCTCCAAACAGCAGCCTATATGTAATATGTCACTTCTAGCACTGCGGTGAAATGTTATTTCATGCGTGAGTTATAATAACCAATCCAATGTGTTATGGTATCAGAGGTGGGAAACGTACTCAGATCTTGTACTTGAGTAAAAGTAGAAGTACTCAGATCTTGTTCTTGAGTAAAAGTAGAAGTACCAGAGTGTAGGAATACTCTGTTACAATAAAAGTCCTGCATTCAAAATGTGACTCAAGTAAAAGTAGAAAAGTATTCTCATCAAAGTATAGTTAAAGTAGCGACAGTAAAAGTAGTCATTGTGCAGATTGGTCCATTTCAGAATAATATATATGATATGTTTTATAATGATTGATCATTAAAGTGTTCTCAAAGCTGGTAAAGGTGCAGCTAGTTTGAATGACTTTGTATACTGCAGGGTAGCTTGTGAATTTACTCCAGGTGGAACGAAAGTCTGATTTAACACTTGATTATATTTCACATCATTCATCCACATCTGTAAAGTAACTAAAGGTAATAAATACATGTAGTGGAGTAGAAGATTTACCTCTGAAGAGTAGAAGTACAAAGTAGAAAACACTGAAATATTCAAGTAAAGTCCCTCAAAATGTTACTAAAGTCCAGTACTTGAATAAATCTACTTAGTTACTTCACAACACTGATTGGTATACTTCAGTACTGGTAGAACTTTCTGGTAATACTACATCTGGATGTCGTTTTTAAGTTATATTGGACGTTTCCTTGGGTTGAAGCGACCCTTCAGTTTACCTTTGTGCAGTCTTCATGGGGTCCACAGATGTTGGCCAGGCAGTGGATGTAGAGCGGCAGTCCTCTGGGCATACTGAACATCTGGATGGAGAATCTGCTTTTCTGTGCCTGGCCGTTAACGGAAAGCCAGTGGAACGTTTCATCTACAGCACAGCTGAGGATAAGAGAGGACAACGTAAGAAAAAAAAAGTATGGGCTCTGAAATGTACTTAAGTAAAAAGTACCCATAACTACCAGCTGTTTTAAAGAGTACCTGACCTCCCTTTATATTAATAGAACAATAATGTCATTGTTAGCTAATGAATGTTTCCATGCTGAACAACGGCAACATGACAACGTTTTCATTGGTCCCTCTTCTTTAGAGAAGACCAGGAAATGATGGATACACGGATCGTGTTCAAATCAATAGGCACGCAATGACTCTAAATAATAATGATCACGCCACCAAACACACATTCAAACTAAAAGGAACCAGCCTGTTTGGAAAATGTAGAAAGTACAGGTATTTTGGTTCAAAATGTAAGAAGTCAAAGTAAAAAGTAATCAGAAAAACAAGTAGTGGAGTAAAGTGCTGATACCAGAAACATGTACTTAAGTACGAAGTATTTGTACTCCACTACTTCCCACCTCTGCTGATAAAGCTTAGTTAAAAGTGTGCAAAGCAACAATAACACTTATTAGATCTTTCATGCCACTGCACTAAGAAATAAAACTAAGAAAGTGTACGCTCTTTCACATTTCACCCACCCGTCCTGAAGAATAAAACCCTGGATGTTGTCCTGAGGGTCGGTGCTCTCCGTGGCCCAGCACGACTCCACCTGCAGGAACACATCTGCAGCAAAAGAGTTCTCGCTCTGCAGCGCCACCTGGAGGAAGAGATTGTCCTCCGGTGCAATGGTGACAGCCTGGATGTATTTGGATGTGTAGGACTCATCAGTGAACAGAGTCATGGTGAGACCCAGCTGCAGGGAGGAGTTAAACTCCACCAGGGAGATGGAGGAGAGCCTAAAAGAGAGGAAATCATGTTTTTAGAGCAGGGTATATGCAGGAATCCTGAAGTGAAATGTAATACCTTTTAAGACCCTTTCCATACATTTTAAGACCTCATCGCCACTTTGAGTTTTAACCGGTTACATTGGCGACACACTTTACCTCACATTTGCTATATACAGTATTGATTGTCCTTCCTCCTTATCTTTCAACCATTTGGACGCAAACTTGCATTTCCCCATAACGATGTTGTTTAACAACCAGCGTAAACGGAGCTTCGCGCGCTATCAAGCAGTGAGCGTGCGATGTCCTGTTCAGATGACGTCAAATCCAACGGGATGCCATAAATAAACTACACAGAATCACACTACACACCTACGCAATGATTACATTCAGGCACACTGTAGAATACAACCTCTTTGGACTATTGATATACTTATTGGAAACAAGCTACAAAATGTAATACCTTGGAAAATGCCGTTTAATACTTTTTAATAAATCAATTTAGCGAAAATTAAGGGTATCAACTTTTAATACTTTTTAAGACCCCGTGGACACCCTGTAGAGGTTTCCTGTGTTTATTAAAAGAGGCCATATTGTGCTTTTTGGGGGTTTACCCTTCCCTGTAGTGCAGGGGTCTCAAACTCAAGGCCCGGGGGCCAAATCCGGCCCGTGACTTCATTTTATGTGGCCCCTTAAGAGCTTGCAAAGAATATAATACGTTTATTATACGGTTACATGCCACTTTACAGAAGCAGGTTGCCCATAAACTACATGTCCCACAATGCATCTCGTTTTTTGACATGCGCACTGAAGAGACTTGCAATTATTTGCCCTGGACTTCTGCTTTCAGACGTAGTTAATTACTAAGTTATTATCGTATCCGATAATAATCCAATTCAGAGGCAATAATGTAATATATATATATATATATATATATATATATATATATATATATAGTTACAACCGGCCCTTTGAGTGCAACCTTTATGCGAATGTGGCCCCCGATGAAATTGAATTTGACACCCCTGCTGTAGTGTGTTATATCGAATTTTGGGCCTGAAACGCCTCCATGAGACCCGTTTGTTTTACCTCTAGGAATCTCTTCAGGAAGTGTTCGACAGGTTTTTTTTCAGTTGGGTGATGCCAATATCAAGAGAATAAGGACCTTAGCCCTTTCTACATTTTTCTAGTGCTCCAACACATTGTACGTGACATCTCGAAGCGGTTGACCAATCACAACAGAGCCGGCCAGCTAACCAATCAGAGCAGACTGGGCTCTGGTTTCAGACAGAGGGGGAAAAGAGGTGCTGCAGCACAGGCAGTATGAGAAAAATAAAGAGCTTTTTGAACATTAAAGCATGGAGACATGTCACAGTAGAGACACTACATACTGATATACACCTGAACATCAGCAGGAGAGGACTCTTTAAAGTAGAGACACTACATACTGATATACACCTGAACATCAGCAGAATATGTCCTATTTAACCATCTTTTCTCGTCTAAATGAGGCAAAGAGACACTAAATATAAAGACATTCTTCTCACCACTCCTTGCCCACCCTGACTTGAGCATTGCGGACATAATGTCGAGGGTAGACACACTTCCACACGACCAGAAGATCCCGCCTGCTGATGGTTTGCTCTTTGCTCAAAGTCACATTCAGAGTGTTTTTTATTTCGATGTGGGATCTGTTCACCTACAAAAACACAAACGGTTAACTCATAAGTCACACTTCTAAAAAAGGTAGAATAAACTGAGATGACTGTACAATTATGTTTGAGGAAAGGTGGGGAAAATGGGTCGAGTATAGAACAATATAATGAATAGAATTAATGTATACCTGAGTATTAATAATGTATCCTTTCTTTTATTTGTAATATGGATTTGTCATCTGTCATGTAGTTAATCTATGTACCTAGATGTGTTTATTTATGTAGGCTTTGTGAATATTTAAAAAAAATAAACCTGGTATTTGAAAATAACATTTTTTAACGTCAAGATTTGTTTCTGTATTCATTATCTCCAGTGCTAAATGCTGCCGTGCATATCCCTCCAAAGAATCACTTAGTAATATATAAATATATTTGTATTCCCACTCACCCGCCTCTCAGTCCCACATTCAGAGTTTTTTCGTGGGGTGCGGAAGTAGTAAAACATCTCGTTCTCTTCCATAGCGCAGCTGCCATCGTTCAGCCTCACGTCCACCTTCCCCCCGAGGGAAGACGTCAGGAACGGTTTTGCTATCGCGCAGATCACTAATTTATTCAGACACTGGCTGAAAAGGCCTTTCTCTGTTTCAAAACACAAGGGTCAGAGTCAAAGAATGTCATTGGATCCCCTATATATATAAGAAATGTTTGTAATTTCAAAAAAAAATTACAGATCGGAAATGTAAGATACAAACAAAACTGTATTCCCTTACACAGTGGTGGCAAGTACATTTACTCAAGTACTGTACTTTTGGGGTACTTTTCTGCTACAAAAAAAAAAGGGAAATATTGTACTTTTACTCCATTACATTACATTTACATTACTTGGTAGACGCTTTTATCCAAAGCGACTTACACTCAATACTGTGGGCAATCCCCACAGGAGCAATTTGGGGTGAAGTGTCTTGCCCAGGGACGCAACAACATGCTGACTGCAGTGGGGATTGAACCTGTGCTCCCCTGATCCCAACACCAACGCACTAGTCCACTGCGCCACACACTACTTTAGTAGTATATGTACTACTTATTTTCTCAGTACTATCTAAAATGTGCTCCATATTGACAAAATAACAACATTAACTAGAGAATGCAATTCCTGAAGAAATTGCTAGTGGGAATGCTTTATGCTGAATAGCTTACGCTAAACTGCTATGCTGAAATGTAATGCGTAAGAAGAAAGTGAAGAATTTAGATTGAAATGATACATGAACACTGGGGGCTTGAATGTGTGATGAGAAGAAAATAAAGTAAAAAGGCTTGGAAAAGCAGCAGAATATTTGAACTGCAAACTTTTGAACTAACTTGATGGTGAATGATCTGTTGCCATGCCAACGGCATTTGATAACATCCCATAATACGCTTAGATGCGTTGATGGCTGCATCGTTACCAAACCTGTGAAGTTTTGGGCCATTTGGAGCATTTTCACTGAAGTTATGAGAAAACCGTGTTTCATGGCGAGCATTGTGTTGCCATGGCAACGGAATTTGAAGAAATCTCAAAACTGTCCCGTAGATGTCTTCACGGCTGGACTGTTAGCACACATGTGAAGTTTGAGCACTTTTTGAACATTTTCATAGGAGTTATAGCGACATCGTCTTTTATGGCGAGGGATGCGTTTCCATGGAAACGACATATGATGAAACCCCATAATTGATGTAGAGCTGTTGAGGGCTGGACCGTTAACCATTATCTGAAGTGTGGTGCTGTTTTGACCCTTTTCATAGGAGTTACGACAACATCGTGTTTTATGGCGAGGGATGCGTTTCCATGGAAACGGCCTATGGTGAGATGTCAGATTTGACGTAGAGCTGTTGAGGCATGGAGAGGTGATATACAGGTGAAGATTGTGGGACGACCGGACCGTGTCCATTGGAGCTACAGCGACATCGTGTTTTATGGCGAGGGATGCGTTTCCATCGCAACAGCCTATGGTGAGATCTCAGATTTGGCGTAAATCTGTTGAGGCATGGACCGGTGATATACAAGCAAAGTTTGGGGGACGATCGGACCGTGTCCATTGGAGTTACAGCGACATCGTGTTTTATGGCGAGGGATGCGTTTCCATGGAAACGGCATATGATGACACCCCATAATTGACGTAGAGCTGTTGAGGGTAGGACCATTAACCATTATCTGAAGTCTGCTACTCTGAGCATGTCAGTTGGAGTTATGACATCGTGTTCCATGACACAGGTGTTTATATTTGAGCTAACGACGTGTCCAGAGATCAAAGGTTTCCATGGTGATCAAATAAATGTGGCAAAGGCTCAAATTTGTTAAACACATTTGTAACAGGTTTGTTAATTGACCAAAAAATATGAACAGTTGGAAGATTGAAAATGGGATTATTATTAGGATTATTTGTAGGTCATTGAAAAGTAGAATCATTTAGAAAGATGTGAACATTGAAGTTTCTATTTTAGAAAAGCAGACACTGTAGTGCATCGCTGGTTTTAAAAGTGATTTATAAGAGTCATGTTTAAGATGTGCAATACTTAGATCCTCTGAGTGTGTGTCATTAGTTAGCTAATAAAATGTTAGGGATAAATACCTTGACATATTGACTACAAGAGCTTGAATCAAACAAGCAACCTTGTATTTGAAAGATTAACTCACATAGCAACAGTCGCACCTGGTATATAAGTGGTGTGGCTGAGTACTTTAAAGGGTTCATGAATAGAGGGGACTTGAATGTGAAATAAGAACAAGAAAACAAAAGTCTAAATGCAAGAAAAAGCAGCAGAATATTTGAACTGAAAACTTTTGAACTAAAAGCATACATCACCAATAATGTCTAAAATATGTGGAACATGTTGAAGTCAGTATGAAGTCTCCATCAGACGGAAAAGAATAGGCTGAGACAGTGGGTGTTTCTCAATCGCGAGTACGCTTGCTTGGTAGCACATGTCTGCCGAGCATCTTGCTTCAGAAGCGAGTCAAGAATACTTCCTGGCATTCGGAAAACGAAGTGTGGAACACGCTAGCAAGTGTGCGTCATATGAGAGGCCCCGCCTTACATCTTCCGCCACAGATTTGGGGAAATTGGTCCGTGCGCAAAGCATTGTGGGGATTTTAAGACCGCAAAGTCTACTCATGTGCAGACTCGATATTTCTCCAAACGGAGTACGCCGGGCTCGGTAGATTTCCAAGTATACTGGAGATTGGAACAGTACTTCGGCGGCACTCGATGACGTAGTATGCTTGAAATAGTGGCTCTGAAGCAGCTTTACTCGCGATTGAGAAACACCCACTCTGTTAAACTCCAGTGACCACGTCATTAGTCTGCTGCTCTAATTATGTCAATTGGAGTTATGACATCATCGTGTTCCATGACACAGGTGTTTATATTTGAGCTAACGACGTGTCCAGAAATCAAAGGTTTCCATGGTGATCAGTGAGAGGAGAGCATTTTCATTGTTCTGAATGAGAGATAAACCTCTTACATGTGAACGTTTTGTTGAAGAACCGTAACAGATATCGGTGACATTTCAAAGCGTTAAGCATGTCAAGGAACTTGAGCATCTGAAGTGTACTTTGTGTACTTTCTGGTTAATAATGTGGCATTTTTGGCAGATTAACTAAAGGTGTGCGGCTGCTGTGGTGGGGAAAGGTGAGGCTGAACTTACAATGGGGTTTAATGGAGACAGGTTGAACGTTTTTGTCACTTCATGCCCTCAAGAGGCATTTTGCTTAATTGTTTTTATCTTTCAAGCTACGAGATGTTTTCCTACGTTTGTCATGAAAAATTATGTCTCAGGAATGTAGGGTTTGGGAATTATGGCAGGTTTAAAAGAAAATATGAAGGCAAAATTAAATCCGTCCTCCACTCTAGCTGTGACATCACGCACTCTAAAATCTGAAGAAGGCCTCTTTACCAAGGTCTGAACAATGTTTAATATCTCTAAAAGTAAGAATCAGATTTAAAATGTGTGTTAGACGAATAATGTCAGAAAGATGTGTAACATTTTAAAGTTGGAATGAGGTTTCTGAGTGAAAGTATGAAGGAACAGTTAGCAGTTGAAGTTGCATGAAGATTGTTCAAGTCTGAAGAGTTTCTCCATTGACTTCCATGTTAAAAATGTGATGTATTATGGGATGTATCTCTGGAATTATGAAAGTTATGAATGATAAAAGTAATAGCCATCGATTCCTGACCGAGCTGAACGTTTTGATGTTTGAACGGAGTTTCTGCGATGTTCAATGTGAAGAAGAAGAGGCGCAAAATAACCCGGCGGAATAATAAAGAATTTTGTGCGTAGCATAACAGATAGTTGGAATGCTGTGTCAGCATTCCCACTAAAAAACAACATACATGTATTTTCTAAAGATAAAAAAATTAGAAAATGTATTTTTTATCATAAGACACTTTTAAAGAGCCATTCTGCGGTACATTTAGACGATAATACTTAAATAGCATTTTGAACTCAGGACTTCTACTTGTAATGGAGTATGTTTCACGTGTGGTATAAGTACTTTTACTTAAGCAGAGTATCGGAGTACTTTTTCTACCATACAATATTATGGTTAGTAGTTCTGTTTTAATAAAATAAGTTGTAAATTCAAGCTCTTTTTTTTGCTTTATGGGCACTATATAGTGTATAGAAGTCTTTAATGAGTGACATATAACGTGACCCGAGGTTGTGCTGATTTCTGGGATGTGTAACACTTGAGTATACTTTAAAAAATGATCATTTATAAAAGTCAAAAATATACAAAAACGGAAATGTCCTATTGTGGGTCTCAGAGGGTTAAGCAACATTTTGAACTCAGGACTTTTTCTTGTAATGGAGTATGTTTCAAGTGTGGTATAAGTACTATTACTTGAGTAGAGTATCCGAGTACTTTTTCCACCATTGCCCTTACAGTTACATTAGAAAAATATCATTTAGATTGAGAACGATTTTACCACAAACTGATAGGAAGTAACTTTGAGAGGTTTACCAACGCAGAGTGGATTTGAAGTTGGAAGCGGCTCCGACACAGAGCTCACATCGTAGTGTTCATGTTTACACACACAGGTGTACGAGCCAAAGGTGTTGATGCACAGCGAATCAGGCGGACACACATATCGCTGGAAGGAAGCACACACATCTGGACCTGAAAAACAGTCAAAGCCAAGAAGATAAAGAAGAGAGATTTTAGATTATAAAGGTCACCTATTATGCAAAATTCACTTCTTCATGTCTTTTCTACATCAACATGTGTCCCCTCTTCTTCATGTCTCTTCTACATCAACATGTGTCCCATCTTCTTCATGTCTCTTCTACATCAACATGTGTCCCCTCTTCTTCATGTCTCTTCTACATCAACATGTGTCCCCTCTGTGGAAAGAGAATCTGAAAGTTTCAGGAAAAAAGATTCTCTCTTTTTCCCCGATCCATTTATATAAAAACCTGTCTGAAAATGAGCTGATCAGATTTTGGCCACTTTGTGATGTCATAACGATTTTTTTTTGGCTAGTGTAACCATTAGCCAATCAGCAACCAAGGTAACCCCCCCCCCCCACCTTATCACCTGAATCTCCTCCTAGAGCACCATTGTGTTAAATATCTCTCAGAGGGGCGTGGGGAGTGGCTCCCTATTTTCATCTAAAGTAACAGACAATCAGCACTTTTGAAACAGGGCTGAAACAGAGGGGATTATGGGATGCTGCAATGATCTGCTTGGTGTTTCAGCCAATCAGAGACATGTTCTGTATATATCTGAGACCTATAGTATTTTGATGAAAAACAGTATAATAGGGGACCTTTAATGTTTTGAGCTGGTTTTCCACCCACCGTCCCAGTGAATGACGCCATCTGTAATGATCCAGTCGCTTCTGTTCAGGGAGTGAATGTAGTCGAGCTGATCCTCGACAGGAAGGGGAATGTCTTCGTCAATTTTGGATGCATCAAAAGACATGAAGAGAACTTCTGTTTTGTCCGGGTCGTCCGCAGGTTCAAAGGTGGCGAGTTCAATGCGGGCCGGAGGAACGAAATCTCTTAACAACTCCTCCAGCTGAAGCATAGAAACAGATGAAGAAGGGGAGGGGATAAGAAGAGAAGAATATATATATTTATTGTCATCATACAAAGTACAACGACATTTTGTTGGCAACTCTCACTGCAGTAAAAAATAGACAAATAAATAAATAAGAGTGGTAAAAGCTCACAGCTCGCCACTGTGAGCAAGAATGCTCACAGTGGCGCCTGTACAGGGACCATTGTCGGAAGGAGAAGGTGTGTGGTGAAAATAAAATGACGTTTATTGCCAGACTGGGGAAGTTCACAAAACAAATAACACAGGCTGTTTCGGCTCCGGGGATCCTCCTCTCAGGATCCAGCCTCTACTGCAAGAGAGACCAGAACCAGGTTACCACCATGCTTTTATTGAGTGATTGATTGCCTGATTCTGGCCAGCTGTCTGGTCTCCGGCCGAGCCACTCCCATCACTCCAGTAGCCGGCGCGCTAACCACACCCCGCTGCCACAGTGCATATTTACACTTACAGTCTAAAAACGTTAAATGTACAAAACAAGGAGATAATAGATGAGGAGATTGAGAAGAGGAAAAGAGGAAAGAGGGGTGAAGAGGAAGGGAGGAAGAGGGAGAAAAATAAGATAAAATGGGTGAAAAAGATTAAAGAGCCGATGGAAAAGAAGGAACAAAAAGAGTTGGAATTGAAGTGGTTAAAGTAAAGTCCCTACCTAACAACTGGGCTAATGTCGCTAATGGTGATGCTAAAGGGCAAGAATACATAAATCTATTAAGAAGAAAATATGCTTGGTTTGTAATGTATTCTTTACATATCAGTAAAGATGAAACTTAGTTCAGAAAATAAATGTTTGCATGAAGAAATTGGACTAAAAGTGAACTTTAATTTCTTTATACATTGAGCTCTAAAATTAGTATGAAAACTGGATCTGCAGACAGACAGTGACTAAAGTATGTTAACCGTTAATTATCCTCCCACCTTATCTTTGAAAATGTTTCCCATCTCCGCTCTCGGCTCTGAATCGTCTTCCAGTAGATCCTCCGGTAGAGACCAGGGAACAACCATTTTGAGACCAATGATGGAGAAATCTAACATCAGATCGACAGGAAACATACAAAAACACAGCAGGTTATCATGGAAGATAATCACCAACAAATCATGAATATCAGGGGTGTCAAACTCAATTTCATCGCGGGCTACATTAGCATTATGGTTGCACTCAAAGGGCCGGTTGTAACTTTAAGACTATATAAAAATACATATATAATAATGTGTTATTACCTTATTGCCTCTGCATTGGATTATTATCGGATAGGGTAATACATTCATAATTAACTACGTCTGAAAGCAGAGCAAATAATTGCAAGTCTCTTCAGTGCGCATGTCACAAAACGAGATGCATTGTGGGACATGTAGTTTATGGACAACGTGCTTCTATAAAGCGGCATGTAACCGTATAATAAAGGCATTATATTCTTTGCAAGATCTCACAATATCTGCTTTTTTTAAATGTATTACTGGACATATTTTATTCCATTCTATTTCTATGCAAATACTGCTATATTTTACTATATTTTTTTATGTTATTATTGTTTTCTTAAACTAGTTCTCTATCTGTGTTTTTAATTTTTGTTATACTTTTATGTTTGCACCACGACATCAAGTCAAATTCCTCGTACGTGTCAACATACCTGGTAATAAACCTGTTTCTGATTCATATCATAATTAAATCAAATTAAACTAGCCCCCAGAGATGGCAAAAGTAAACACTTTACTCAAGTAGAAGTACAGATACCCGTGTTTAAAAATACTCTGGTAAAAGTAGAAGTACTGACTAAACTTCTTTACTCAAGTAAAAGTAAAGAGGGCTTTGAAATGTACTTCAGTAAAAAGTACCCATAACTACCAGCTGTTTTAAAGAGTACCTGACCTCCCTTTATATTAATAGAACAATAATGTCATTGTTAGCTAATGAATGTTTCCATGCTGAACAACGGCAACATGACAACGTTTTCATTGGTCCCTCTTCTTTAGAGAAGACCAGGAAATGATGGATACACGGATCGTGTTCAAATCAATAGGCACGCAATGACTCTAAATAATAATGATCACGCCACCAAACACACATTCAAACTAAAGGAACCAGCCTGTTTGGAAAATGTAAGAAGTAGAAAGTACAGGTATTTGTGTTCAACATGTAAGAAGTAGAAAGTACAGGTATTTGTGTTCAACATGTAAGAAGTAGAAAGTACAGGTATTTGTGTTCAACATGTAAGAAGTAGAAAGTACAGGTATTTGTGTTCAACATGTAAGAAGTAGAAAGTACAGGTATTTGTGTTCAACATGTAAGAAGTAGAAAGTACAGGTATTTGTGTTCAACATGTAAGAAGTAGAAAGTACAGGTATTTGTGTTCAAAATGTAAGAAGTAGAAAGTACAGGTATTTGTGTTCAACATGTAAGAAGTAGAAAGTACAGGTATTTGTGTTCAACATGTAAGAAGTAGAAAGTACAGGTATTTGGGTTCAAAATGTAAGAAGAAAAACAAGTAGTGGAGTAAAGTACTGATACCAGAAAAATGTACTTAAGTACAGTAACGAAGTATTTGTACTCCACCACCTCTGCTAGCCCCTTTAAACTGTGTTGTGTTGATGGGACTTCAGACTAACCGTGGTTTAGAGGCGATGAAGCAGCCGCCCTCCCAAGGATCTCGAAGGGCATGTTGCGTCCCTCAAATAACAATTGGGAATGCTCCGATTCCCACTGAACGCCACATTCCTCCCACAACTCCAGCAGGTATTTCTTTCCTTCTTCCAGCCCAAAGAGACTCAGCTCTGTATCTGTGATTCTGCTGCTCTGGATGGTGATGCCGTTCTCCAGAGACAACTCGTATAGAAAGGCCACGGCTTCATGATGGGCGCTGTTTGGGATCCAGTGAGCGGTGGAGTCGTTGGAGCGATACCTGAGCTCAGAAACACCGTGAGGGCCTGGAAACACACAGAAGCAGAACATACAAGGTATTCAAGGCTTTTATTGTCATGTATACATAGCTACAGTGTAGTTATGTCAATGAACATATTAGGTCACAGGCTCCTCCAACAGTGCAAAACAATAAAACAAATAAAATAGTGCAAGTAAATACAAATAAAATACAAATGAAGAAGGATAGGTACTGTATAACACTCAAGGAATAGTGAAAACTTGCATTGAAACACCTGAGAAGCCAAGAAGTGATAAATATCGCCATCATTTAACTTTTAAATTGGCAATCACAGATTAATATTTTGGAAAATTCATGGATTGTTTTTTTTCTACACTCCACCCATATTACACTGTAATACAGCTCCACCACACCATTATTACACCAGTAGTACACCTATTCTAATCCACTATAAACCAATGTTAAACCACCATTATTACACCAATGATACAACATCCTAGCACCTGTTTTACACCCGTATTACACTGGTATTATCCCGATTTTACATCCATGTAACACTAGTATTACACTGTAATTACACAGATGTTACACCATTATATCAACCATACAACTCCGTCATTAAACCCATGGTACACCATTGTTAACATCTGTTTTACACCCATATCACACTGTAATTAGCTCCATTTGACATCTATGTAAGACCAGTATTACACCAATATCACACTGTAATTACATCCATGGTAGAACATCGTTAGACCTGTTTTACACCCGTATTGCACCGTAGTTAGACTGTTATTAAAGGACTCAAAATGGCCAATAAAAGTGTGCATATTAACAATAGCATGTGTCTTTTCGTCCACATTACCTGTGTGTGCTGTGATTGTCTCGGAGCTCATGAGAACTCCGTCTCCACACATCGCCTCCACCCTGGCTTCATACTGCTGGCATGGCAGGAGCCCCCCCACGGTGAAGCTGGTGCTCAGCGTGGAGCCCTGCAGCTCCCCCTGGTGGTGGACTCTGAAGGAGGAGATGGACGACGTGTTCCTCACCTCCCAGATCAGGGTGTACTTATCGGGGCCGAACGATGACTGATGCAGGGCCTCGATGCTGGAGAGAGCTGAGGAACAGACAGTACCAGAAAAATGTACTTAAGTACAGTAACGAAGTATTTGTACTCCAATACTTCCCACCTCTGACCATATCCAGCGTATTCATGTTGTTTTTGTTGTTGTGTGGTGTCTAATGAGCCCATTTGGTGCAGGTCTCACCAGAGTTTCCATCGTTCAGGACCATCTTGCTGTAGCGGGACTCGATCCCTTTCTGGCAAACGGTCTGAAAGCCGAACCTGACCCTCCCGCACGGCTCCAGGTTCGATAACATGAACACAAAGTCGTTTTTGTTGTGCAGCGACAGCACTTCCTCCGTGACGTGGTTCAAACCGTCCAGGTGGAAGGTGGTGAGCAGGAAGGAGGACAACTTGTTGTTTTCAGGACAATCCCAGGCCAACGACATGCTGCTGCCGTTAAACAACGTCACCTCGAAGTCTCTGGGAGTGTCTGGGTCTGGTGGGAAACAGAAACGGTTAGGCATTTTTTATCCTTTATTAAAGGGGACCTATCATGCAAAATGCACTTTTGTACGTCTTTTATACATGAATACGTGTCCCCGGTGTTCCAGGGAACTCACCAAGTGTCAGAAAACACAACCCTCTCTATTTTCCTCCATACCCAAATCTCTAAAAAAGGGGCTGCAACGGATCTGATAAAAACTGATCCAGATTTGAACACTGTCCTGACGTCAGGACAGTGGCGCTACGGCTATTGGGCCAACTCCACCAATCAGGAGGAGACAGCCACGGCCATTGCCGTTCGAAAGCGCTGGAGACGCTGGAGTACATATGCCAGGCCTGTAAGTGGCGTGGTAGTCTGCCACAAAAGCAGCGAAGAAGATTTCCCGCCCATAGTTACCATGGTTACCCTTCTGTTTATTCTCCGCTGTGGCTTTCTTTCTCCCTCCCCGAGGCAAGCGTTTGCTCCCGCTGCTTTAATTCAATGCAATCCCTCCCCGTCGAGGCAAGCACTGTAATTCTCTCCGGTTAGTCCACCAGCAGATGACAAACACCCACCTCTCCGCCTCTTCCAAGGAACGAGGGGACCGTGCGGCAGAGTTTCAGTTTCAGTTTCTTTCGCCGGTCAAGATGTCCGTTAAAGTTTAAATCTTCCAGACAAAATTAGAAAAGTGCCGGTCAAAGGTCTTCTTTGTTATTTATTGAGCTTTAAAACAAATGAATAACGACTCTATATAATAAAACACGGAGGACGGAGATCTCTTTTTCTCCCCCTCTTCTGACAGCCCAGCAGCTGATCAGAGCACGGCTCACCTCTCCTGCAGGGGGGCGTGGTCAGCAGAATCAGACCCGTAGACAGCAAACAGCACATAGAGCGAAATGAGGCATGGCAAAAATGCATGATCTGTTGAACGTATAAATATACCTTATATAGGTATGGCCCTACAATATATCATTTAAATATAGCATGATAGGTCCACTTTAAGTTATAATTTAAAAAATATAAGCTATCTGTCAAATACAAATTATAAAGCGTAGTCTAACACTTCAAAATCAACTCAAAATCAGTCCACTGAGAGTACAAATATGGTCAAAACTGCCATTTCAGATCCTAAAAATGCAAGAAAGAATAGCCCCCAAATACACTCCAAGATTGTCCAAATAAACCAAGCAATGTTTTAACTGCATTGTTTGCATAGGCTATAATGCTATTTAATGCTAATTAACGTTAATGCAATTTGTGCAATGAGTACTTTTACTTTTGGTACTTTAACTATATTTTGATGATAATACTTTTCTACTTTTACTTATTTTGAATGCAGGACTTTTACTTGTAACAGAGTATTGCTACACTCTAGTACTTCTACTTTTACTCAAGTACAAGATCTGAGTACTTCTACTTTTACTCAAGTACTAGATCTGAGTACTTCTACTTTTACTCAAGTACAAGACCAGAGTACTTCTACTCAAGTACAAGATCTGAGTACTTCTACTCAAGTACAAGATCTGAGTACTTCTACTCAAGTACAAGATCTGAGTACTTCTACTTTTACTCAAGTACAAGACCGGAGTACTTCTACTCAAGTACAAGACCGGAGTACTTCTACTCAAGTACAAGACCTGAGTACTTCTACTCAAGTACAAGACCGGAGTACTTCTACTCAAGTACAAGACCGGAGTACTTCTACTCAAGTACAAGACCTGAGTACTTCTAATTGTACTCAAGTACAAGATCTGAGTTTTTCTACTTTTACTCAAGTACAAGATCTGAGTACTTCTACTTTTACTCAAGTACAAGTCCTGAGTACTTCTCCGTCCTCTGAGTACATACCGGTGATAGTAGAAAGGCAGGTGAGGGTCTGAGTCTCCACACAGGCCACGTAGTTGCTGCAGGACTCCAGAGCAGTGAAGCGGTAATGGTTGTCTGTGGTTGTGTCCTTGCTGAGAGTGTTATATGAACCCAGCTCACTGTGGTAAAGATTCACAGTGAGACTGGATGATGATGGAGGGTTCTCCACCCAGGAAACCAGCAGCATGGAGGGACTCCTGGACTCCAGTTGGATGGGGAAACGCATAGTGTGGCCTGGGATGAGCAGAAGTGTAGTTGCAGTCAAACAAAGACATAGTACATTTAAAGCAGTGTAACCGGAGTACTTCTACTCAAGTACAAGACCTGAGTACATCGTGAAACTTAACCTCAATACGGAAATGCAGTTGGAGTCAAACAAAGGCATAGTCAATTTAAAGCAGTGTTAATAAACCCATTAAAGCATGGAGACCTGTCACAGTAGAGACAGTACATACTGATATACACCTGGAAATAAGCATATCAGGGCCTCTATAAAAATTGAGGTCTGGTCGAGATGTAAATACAATAAATAACTGAATAAACAAAAATAATAATCTCACCAATTGCAAGGAAGAAGTGGTCGTCCTGGTATAAGAATAATGTGCTATTCTCACATGCAAACACTTCAGTGGTGCTCAGCATCTCCAAGAACCCCTGAAGAAAGAACAAGTTAGCAAGAGTGAGCTGGACTGTGTACAGAATCTAACATATATAATGTATAATATTGTATTTTGATATATCAGAAGTACCTTGGTAGCACTTGTTGGTTTCTCTTGGGGTTTCTGCCGGCCTCTGATCTCAGTGAACCTTGTCCCTAAAGATAAACACATTTAATAAACTACTGATTTTTAGTATGCTAGGATATTTAAAAAGATACTTACGTGGGCTAATTCTTAAAGTCCATGCCTCAACGTTGCCTCCAAACTGAAGGGTGAGCTTGTTTTCAACACCTGGAGACACTGTCAGAGAGGTGACCTTCCCCTCCTTCCTGATGTTTCCTAATGCGGTGTCATTCAGCCATATGTTCACATCCTGCCTGAGAAGATGGAAAAAAGCATGTTTAATGATACCCTATTGAGTATATGTACACAAGTATTGTACTTTAAATTTGAGTATTTCCATTTAAAGCTTCTTTACACTTCTACATTTCAGAGGCAAATATCATACTTTTTACTCCACTACATCCATTTTAACACTCACTTTGTACGTATAAAACCACATGATATGCTCATATGATATAATGCAGTACTGTAGTACTAATCTACACAGTATTTCTCGTATCTAAATTTGGTCGACGTTGACAAACAAAACTAAAACGCTGGATAAAAACAGGATAATATGAGTAATATAATACGGTGAAAATATCCATTTTGCATAACGAGTACTTGTACTTTTGATAATTGAAGTACATTTATACTTCTGTTCTTGATATTGTGTTGAAATGGGTCATTGTGCAGGACGAGTACTTTTACTTTAGTGTACTTTAAGTACTTATTACATAAAAAGTAAAAGTACTTAATAGGAAAAACGAGAATTACATTATATTATCATAGAATATGATATGATCCTGTCTTTACCACTATTAAATACACGAGTCTTTGTGAAAATACCGAGTATACTACTGTACATGGGTTTTTATATATAAAAACTGGTTATTGTATTGGAGTAGAAGTAAAAAAATACTACGTAAATACATAGGAAACAAATATAGGAGTAACATTGAAGTTATGTATGCCGATTTAACCATTATTATATGATATGTTAATGTTTTACTATATATCCAGATTTGCCGATTAGCACACAGTCTCTTTAATCTGTAACGAAGACTGCACGTGCACACGACTAAAGAACGTGCTTTCCTCGCGCTCACCTTTCCAGGACATGGTTGTTGTCCATCCAGCAGATCGAGAAGGAAATATCATGGCACCATCCTGCAGGAAAACCACTCAAATTATCTCCAAAATGCAACAAAACCTGGATTACTATTTACTTCCACTGTGTCACATGTGCGCTACTCACCAAACGATATGGTGTGAGGCACCAGGATGAAAAAGATGAAGGAAAACTCTAAAGAGTTCCTGGAAACACAAACGCGGATTAATTCTCTGATTTTGAGTCAGATAATACTGAATATTAACGTATTTATATCTTACATTTTCTGTGTTATTCCAGCAAAGGAGAGCATGTTGTGTTTTTCAGAGTCGAGGCTTGTTTGGACTCCTAATAAGTGACAGGTGTGTGCTGCCTTCACGCACCTGGTCGTGTGTCGTACTTTGGAGAGTTTAATGCAATTATATACTTTTTTTTATTGTTATTTAGGAGATTTCATTGGAAACTCAAGTCTGCAGTGAGTGTTTGTAATTGTCATTAAGATATAAACAGAACTAAGACAAATACAAATGTAATAATGGACTTTTAAATCCATGCTGAAAGTGTGTGTGAGTTTAACTGTATGTATTAAACTAAAATGGAGCATTTTCTGTTGGCTCAGATTTGATCAGTGATGGAAAGTATCTAAATACATTTGAGGTACTTGTACTTTGCTTGAATATTTTCATTTTAAACTACTTTATACTTCTGCTCTACTACGTTTTGGAAGCATATGTCTTACTCCTTTACTACTCTATGTACAATTTTACAGATTTATTTACTATTTACTTTACAGATTACAGATTTTGACACACAATACTTTGATTATTTGGTATAGATTAAACCCTCACAAATTATATTAAACTAACTAAACCATGAGTGTGATAAAAGGAAATTAATTTAGGCTCTTGTCTTAGGCCACGTTTACACGGAGACGAAACGGGTTGTATCCGCTACAGTTCTCTATTGTATGGACGGTTCACACGAGGCCGTAACGGAACCGCGGAAACGGAGCCCTCAAACGATAACGGCTCCCAAGGTGGGTAGATCTGCGGAGGAAAAGCTCTTGGGAGCCAAACCATGGATGTATAATAAGAACTGGATACAGCGTCGGAGACGGGGTCTCATTCTTTCCTATGTGAGCTGCTCATTGGCGCATGAGGACAAAATGGCACAACTTTTGAGAGAGCGAAACGTCACAGATTACCCATCATGCCTAGCTGTCAGAGCAGAAGAACCCGTATGTGCCAAGCCCCCAGGAAGTGCGCCGGACTCTGATGAAAATATTCGTTGTGTCCAAACGGCGGTACTACAATTTCCGTATCAGTCCGTGACGTCACTGGGCCCAGACAGACTTTTCCCCATTGACTAACATTGAGAAAGAGACGTCTGTAAATCAGCGGATAATTTTTTTTAAACTAAATAAACTACCCAGTATGAACTATTTTATAGCCCTTATTATAATCATTAGGTCCTTAAAATTGTAAAATGCACTAAAAGCCAAATCTAGATTTATTTTCTGTCTCCATTCATTCTACTGAGCCGAGAGTGGGAGCTCGGGGGGCGGGGCTTAAGGGGCGCATGCTCTGTGAGCGCACATACGGGTTCTTCTGCTCTGACAGCCAGGCATGATGGGTAATCTGTGATGTTTCGCTCTCTTAAAAGTTGGGCCATTTTGTCATCATGCGCCAATGAGCAGCTCTCATAGGAAAGAACGAGACCCCGCCTCCGACGCTGTATCCAGTTCTTATTATACATCCATGGTATGTGCGCTCACAGAGCATGCACCCCTTAAGCCCCGCCCCCCAAGCTCCCACTCTCGGCTCACTAGAATGAATGGAGACAGAAAATAAATCTTGCGCCACTTACAGGCCCGGCATATGTACTACAGCGTCTCCAGCGGGTCGAGCGGTCTCGTGTGGACGGACACGTTTCTTGAGCCGACTCCGTGTAAACGTGGCCTTACATAATACACTTAAAAAACATCTCATTGATATCTATTTTCTCTTGTATTTATTGGCATTGCATGAGGTCACTGATTACATTTTTGAATACAGGTTAACTTTGTAATGGCAAGAGGCGCTTTCACACCGCAGTACTTTTCCCACAAAGGTTCATCAGAACTTAGTTAATCAGAACTCTTTAGTTCTCATGAACTAAGTACAGATCGCATTCACACCGGAATAAGTCCCTGGGGGAGGATTAGGCAAATGAAGCCGCTGACGTCACTTCTTCTTCTTCTGCTTTGGGTTTACTGGCAGGCCGCAAACAACTTCATGGCGTATACTGCCACCCGAAGTCCCCGGCCGGAAGTCCCCGGAGTTGGGGACTGGCTTCAGTAGAAGCTGCTGGGACTCCCAGCAGCTTCTACTGAAGCCTTCCGAGTAAATCGCCAGAACGCCGACACCTCCTCATCTCCACCGCTCCCATGTTTTCTTTTGTGTTGCCATAAGTTAGTCTCTCTGCGTTTCTGCGCTGGGCTAATGCTAATGCTAATAATGCTAATGCGAGGATAATAAAATGGCGGCTTCACAAAACTTTTTGGGAGTTTTACGGGGCGTGGTTTGCAATCCACCCAGCCAATCAGACATAGGAACCTTTTTCTCCCACGAAAGTACCTGCTCTCTAGCAGGGACAGAAAACTGACGGAAAAGGGGATAAAAAGGTTCTCATGAACTAATTTTAGTTCCGGCTCTTTTTGGTATGAACGCGACATTTCGGAACTATATCGGAACTAAAGTGGGAAAAGTACCCTATACATGTTTAAACTAACCCTGACAGAGAAGTGGTTGACAAAAGGGAGAAGGCAAGGCAAGTTTATTTATATAGCACCTTTCAACACAAGGCAATTCAAAGAGAAGTCTCTGATTCAGGAAATTCAACAGTAACCCAAAAGTATAATGTTTTATTACATTTCTTTTATTTCTCTTACCCTCTATCACGACAAATCACTTCTTCATGACAGAGAGTTATATGCAGACCGACTGTTTTCACAAATTTGGTTCCTTTGAGTTGAGTTGATATTTGTAAATGCATCAGACCTTTAAAACATTTCTAGTTTTTCTACTTTTCGGATCATATAGCCTCTCTTTGACAATCCTCTATAGTAGATATATTCAACTGCTAGTGCTGCCTGCCTTGACTTCATCTGCAAATTAGAAGTTAAGATAAGATAAGAAAATACTTTATTTATCCCGAAGGAAATTACTGTGCCAGAATTAAAAAAATACAATAAACACAGCAGCATAATGATAACTAGAGAATGCAATTCCTGAAGAAATTGCCAGTGGGAATGCTTTATGCTGAAAGGCTGACGCTGAATTGCTATGCTGAAATGTAATGTGTAAGAAGAAAGTGACGAATTTAGATTGAAATGATACATGAACACTGTGGGCTTGAATGTGTGATAAGAGAAGAAAAGAAAGTAAAAAGGCTTGGAAAAGCAGCAGAATATTTGAACTGCAAACTATTGAACTAACTTGATGGTGAATGATATGTCGCCATGGCAACGGTATTTGATGACACCCCATAATAAGCTTAGATATGTTGATGGCTGCATCGTTACCAAACCTGTGAAGTTTTGGGTTGTTTGCAGCATTTTCACTGAAGTTATGAGATAACCGTGTTTCATGGCGAGCATTGTGTTGCCATGGCAACGGCATTTGAAGAAATCTCAAAACTGTCCCGTAGATATCTTCACGGCTGGACTGTTAGCACACATGTGAAGTTTTAGCACTTTTTGACAATTTTCATAGGAGTTATAGCAATATCGTGTTTTATTGCAAGGGATGCGTTGCCATGGCAACAGCTTTTGAGGAAAACTCACTAATGATACATAGACATGCTGAGGGCTGGACCATTAGCTGTCATCTGAAGTCTGGTGGTGTTTTGACAATTTTCATATCAGTTACGACAACATCGTGTTTTTTGGCGAGGGATGCGTTTCCATGGCAACAGCCTATGGTGAGGTCTCAGATTTGGCGTAGAGCTGTTGAGGCATGGACCGGTGATATACAAGCAAAGTTTGGGGGACGATCGGACCGTGTCCATTGGAGTTACAGCGACATCGTGTTTTATGGCGAGGGATGCGTTTCCATGGAAACGGCATATGATGACACCCCATAATTGACGTAGAGCTGTTGAGGGCAGGACCATTAACCATTATCTGAAGTCTGCTGCTGTTTTATGGCGAGGGATGCGTTTCCATGGCAACAGCCTATGGTGAGGTCTCAGATTTGGCGTAGAGCTGTTGAGGCATGGACCGGTGATATACAAGCAAAGTTTGGGGGACGATCGGACCGTGTCCATTGGAGTTACAGCGACATCGTGTTTTATGGCGAGGGATGCGTTTCCATGGAAACGGCATATGATGACACCCCATAATTGACGTAGAGCTGTTGAGGGCAGGACCATTAACCATTATCTGAAGTCTGCTGCTGTTTTATGGCGAGGGATGCGTTGCCATAGTAACACCACATTACGTAACATCAGATTTGATGTAGAGCTGTGTTAACCATTATCTGAAGTCTGCTCTAATTATGTCAGTTGGAGTTATGACATCATCGTGTTCCATGACACAGGTGTTTATATTTGAGCTAACGACGTGTCCAGAGATCAAAGGTTCCCATGGTGATGTGCAGTAATCAGTGAGAGGAGAGCATTTTCATTGTTCTGAATGAGAGATAAACCTCTTACATGTGAACGTTTTGTTGAAGAACCGTAACAGATATCGGTGAAATTTCAAAGCGTGAAGCATGTCAAGGAACTTGAGCATCTGCGGTGTACTTTTTGTGTACTTTCGGGTTAATAATGTGGCCTTTTTGGCAGTTTAACTAAAGGTGTGCGGCTGCTGTGGTGGGGAAAGATGAGGCTGAACTTACAATGGGGTTTAATGGAGACATGTTGAAAGTTGTTGTCACTTCATGCCCTCAAGAGACATTTTGTTTAATTTTTTTTGCTTAAAGGTAGGGTAGGTAAGTTTGAGAAACCGGCTCGAGATCGCTAGAATTTGAAAATACACAACCGGAGAAAATCTGCCACTTCCTTATAGAGCCCCTCCTCCAACACACACGAACGCGCACATGACCAATGAGGGCCCGAGATAAGTTTGTGCACAGATGGAAGGCTGACAGGCAGGTAGGCCATCCAGTTATTTTAGCCGGGCCGGCTAAAATGATTGGTCGTGCTTTTTAAAGTATTACGGCTTCCACAGATGACATTTTTTTATGGATTTTTTGTCAAAGCACTTAGAATATTCATTGCTATCGGGATGTTAAGAGCATTCCATGGAATATAACAAAAAGTGTATCTCGAGCCGGTTTCTCAAACTTCCCTACCCTACCTTTAACTTTTTTTTTATTTTTCAAGCTA